CACCACTACAGCTGTGCTCTCAGGTTCACGTAAACACAGCACACAGGTGGGATGTGCAGCACGAGTGCTCTCTGCTCCTCACAGAGAGGTGATGGAGACGATTCCTGATGATGATGATGATGATGATGATGGTGAGAAATTGTTTCAACATCACTGATTTATAAATTAATGATTACTCTGTGATTCTAATGTTTGTGTTTCTTTTTCCAGGTTTGGATAAGAAGTCAGGATCTAATCAGAGAAGTTTAGGTGTGTTAACATTTGTGGTTTTAAAGCCAGTTTTTATGTTCAATTTTTTTTTGTCATTTGATAGTTGTTCACATTATTGTGTCCTTCTATCTCCTGTTTTTCTCAAAGGAATCAGGATCTCAGTCATTCTGTCATCTGTGGTGTTGGTGCTCTGTGTTCCTGCACTCATCTTTGTTAGGTATAAAAAGTGATCTCAAAGCAGGTACTCGTCTGCTGATATTACAGCATCTTTACATATTCAACTGTTCTTAAATCTGTTGTCTGTCACACAGAGAGTTCGTGGTGAATTATAACTGAAACAAGAAACACTCAGGAGTAAGTCTCTCTTCATCCTGCCAGACTGCACTCGGAAAGTTGCTGGTTTCTTTTTCACTCTTCAGGATTTTGTCACATTTCAATTCTTTCCAACTTACCTTTTACTTTTCTACTTTCTTTCTAATTCATCAAACCCCGTCTTTGGTTTGTCTAAGCTATTGTTCTTTGTTCAAAAATATTTTTATTCAGCAGTATTAACACAGTGATGCTAAAATGTTTTTGTTTTTATTTTTAGAACTGGACCATTTTCAGTCAGATGAAGGGACACTCAGACACTCAGCGGCAGAAGGCAGACACCTCCTGAGGAGTGTCAGTTCATTATGCCAGAATGTTACATTTTTTTTTATCTAAGTACTTTGTGCTGTTTATTTATTTTTTGTATATCTTTGAAATGGTGCTGTTTATAAAAAGTCATGTTTTGGTGTTTTGTCAGATATTTAAACATTAAGTTACTTGAAATGCGAACTGTGAAAATGAGCATGAGTGGCTAACATGAACCTTTCTCATCAATAACTTTGATTAAATTGATTTCATTGATT